CGTGACTGCCCCGTCTTGTTGTTGTAATGCCTGCGCAGGCTCTTGGAGTATGTCCAGGTTTGCAGCGATACCGATACTAGTCTCCGCGCCGATTATTTGGGCAGATACTCGCCCAAATGCTCCGATGCTTAGCCCGATACCGGACCTTCCGAGTCATTGCACACTGCGCGGCTTCCTGATTGGCCGGGAAGCTCATCACTTGTGACGTGGGAGCATGGAGCCGGCTTCCCGGCCAATCAGGAAGCCGTGGGGCGTGTAATAACTTGCTGCTCGGTCTCTTGATTGGTCGGGAAGCTGTCAAGTGATGAGGGAGCATGGAGCCGGCTTCCCAGCCAATCAGGAAGCCGGGTGCCGCGTCATTATACAGTGCCCAGCTTCCTGATTGGTCAGAAAGCCGGCTCCATGCTTTCTCCTCACCTAGTAACGAGAAGCATGGGGAAGGCTTCCCAGCCAATCAGGAAGCCAGGGGTGACGAGTCTTTACACGCCGCCCGGCTTCCAGGAAGTGAGGGGATTGATGTCTAAGTCCCATCGCGCTCCGGACCGCTAAGTCCCTTTGGATTAGGAGGGCGCTGCAGTGACCATGGGGGCCGCTCAATATCAGAAAAGAAGGGGTCACCGGCACTCCAGTATGCTGATCAATACGCCTTTATTGACTCCGATATGCTGATGATCAATACACCTTTATTGACGCATGCACCAGATAACACAACGTTTAGGGGCCACATAGGGCAAAGTCTGATGAAGGGGACCCAGCGTGGCCCCTGAAACGTCGCGTTATGTGATACGGAGTGTGCACCAATACAGGTGTATTGATCAGCATACTGGAGTGCCAGTGGCCCCTTCTTTTCAGGAAGTGAGATGAATCTCCCCCTGGGGGACACGGCCCTACACAGCCCTGTACACAGAACATTTTGCATGGAGTCGTGTTACAATTCTTCTTTACCCCCCTATGGGACCCGGCCAGTAGTCAGCCGCTCAGGGAAGTCACATCAGCGAGTCTAGACCAATCACAGGACACGGAGGAACAAGGGCCCCGGGTATCTGTATAGTACACAACATGGCAACTGGGAGTCTAGACACACGGATACTTCAAGAGCCTGGACGTAACAGAACAACACAGGTAACACACAGGTCTGACACCTTTAGAACTCTAACCATGGCGGCAACAATTTTTGACAAATCACAGGAGCCGGGTGGGATATTGTCAGCCAATCAGCTGCAGCCATTGATTATTCTGCCAGCCCTGGGCTCCGGCTCTCAGAGGAATAGAGGAGACTCAGCTTAAAGGAGAACTATGGGGTCAGGGCTTTCCCCATAGTTCTCCTTACGGTAACGGGAGGACACAAACTAGCGTCCTCCAGTCACCCTAGGCTCAGTATATAGGGAGCTGTAGCTCGCGGTATACTGAGACGCCGCAGCTGAAGCGGATCCCGACAATTGTGCCGGGATCCGCCCAGCTGCGTGAGTGACAGCTGGCTCTGCCTATCTAGAGGCAGAGGCAGCTGTACCCTCCCCCGTCCGTTCCACCAGTCAGCGCTGGGGGATCAGAGCGGGGAGAGGGGAATCCCTGCAGAGAGCCGTGACAGGATCGAGAGGTGAGCGAACGCCGGTATGTGTTCGCTCACTTCCCGATCTACTGAGCCGACCTGTGACAGTCTCATTGTCACAGGTCGGCTAGAACTATGAGGTGAGTGGAAAGCACTCCCCTCATGAACGTCACAGAAGAGCCAGGGGCTGTGTGGGGTCCAGGGGCCGTATCTGAAAGCCGATGATACGAGCGATTGATGCCACAGATAACAATGACAAGGCATCTATGGCTCAGACTTCACACGTCTCTCCTGAACAGCCTATGTCCCCTATGACGCTTCTGCACTACAAGTCTCAGCATGGAGCGTACTGTTATTACATAGTGACAGGCCAGCGCTGCCGTCCTCTGTCAGTGTGCCTTGCAGGACCAGACGCACATCCTGAATAGAGGAGGGGGGGGGGGGGGGTGCCTGGCAATCCTGGGATCCTTTTAAGCAGACAAGATGGGCTGGGCTGGCTCTGTGCACCATACGTGATCCATCTCCCGCATGTGGTCAGCCAGCTGCGTCTAACCAGGAGCCACTAATACAATTATTATATCATTATGGGGGAAGGGCGGAGAGAACGCAGAGTCCCCCCGGGGCCCCCACTTCCCGTCTTGTAATCATTAGCCAGGGAGGATTGTGCTGTGTGTGCGTGCCAGCGGGGGCGGCGGCATGTAGGACGGATGGGGCATTTACAAAACGCAACCCCTGGGGCCCTACAAGCTGTGGCGAGAGGTCATGTGATGTGGCCGCAGAGTGGGGTCCTGATCCTTCATCAGATCTGGGGTGAGGAACAGGAAGTTCAAGGATTGCTAAACCTAAAAATGAGGACATTGCAGTTTACCCGTCTTTAGATGTGGCGGCTGCATTCGTTTCCCTCGGCCTTTGCCCCCTTTATTCTCTCCTGGTGATCCTGCCAGTACCACACTTCCTGTTCTAGGCTGGACTTCAAACATGCCCCCCCCCCCTTTGTTTACCTCCATTACATGGGGGGAGGATTAGGGGGGTACAGAAGGAACATTGCTCAGCTCACAGGAAGTGATGAGGACCCGGGTATGCTGTGCTCGCTGACAATGCCCCTATCCCAGAAAAGGAATGCAGCCACCACATGGAAGGACAGGTCCTCTTATCCTTCAATCACCAATAATAGGATACTGTCGGCACGGACCCGCCAAGCGGGAAGAACGCCCACTCAGCAAATACAAGCACCGCCCCCTGATTGTGTTCAGCAATTCCAGAATATTACAGTGTTGTCACCACAGCAGTTGGATTAGGAGACGTGTGCGGGAGGAGAGGTCAGAGGTCAGCCATGCAGAAGGAAGGTAGCCGTTTTGTGTGGTTAGAGAGCCATCCCGGATATCTGCTTTACTGGCAGCGACATCTCCCCTCAACCCCCGGCTGGGCTGTGACAGGCCGAGCTACTCTTGTCACTGTATTCTACTGTCACGTGCGCCCTCTAGTGGCTTCCTCATAGGAATGTAAGAGCATTTTTGGGGGGCCGGCAAGACAAGAAACTAAACTCGGTCAGCCATGCCAGTGCCAGAGGGGAAGGAAGATCTCAGCCGCCATGTTCCCAAAGAACAGAGACGACGGCAGGAGATCAAATCCAAACATTATACCCCGCCCCCCCGCACCATGGGAAAAAAAATCGCTGTAGGCGGGGCTTCTTTGCCAACGTTCAGTATATGAGTCCAGCTGGGAGCAGTGAAAGTCCAATGGTCTTCTCTAGTGCCTGCTGAATGGATGGATGAGAGTGGGCAACGTGTGATGACAGCTGCCCCCTCTTTGTATGAGACAGGTACTCTTCACAGGTCATGTGATAGAAATGTCTCATACAGTTCCTGTGTATGATTGGGGGGGGGGGACACTTTATACAGTATGGACAGTATGGATCTGGGACGGTTAGTTGCCTTCCCCAGACGCCACAGCGGGTGAGGAATCCTCCAGTGGTGCGCTCGTTCACCTTTCCTTGTCTGAGGCTCCTCCCACAGGAAAACACAGGTTGGCCAGGCACAGTATGGACCCTTAGACGTCACATGACCGACCGGACCCCGTGACATCACACAGGAAGG